ACCTACTGCTGCGCAAGGAGCTCGTACGAGAAGATTTTATCCAATCCTGACAACAAGTAACACATGATAATACATTTCAGTGATTTCCTATGAGCACTGCCCCGTACTTGAATGGGAATGGTCACAGCAGACACAGATCTCGGGGTAGGATGTGAGCTTGTTCCTTTCTCCTGTCTCCCTGTGCTTGTTTTTCCCTGCGTGAGGTATTTCAGCTCTGCTCTTGCACGACTGGACCACGCTGTCAGGACTGGACAGTAGACGGAAATGTGTCCGTTTCAATTTTGGTTCTGATCCTGGGATATTTCTAACTCTCTCCATATCCTTGATAGATAATGGTTTAATAAGCGATCTGTTTTTTATTTAAAGGGTCGGTAGTAAAACCCAGATCACATTTCTCACTTGGTGGGTTAAAAAACCGCTTACGCTCATTTCTGCAATGTAAAACGACACTATATCAAATCAAACATTTCCAGATGTGGCCAGCTTGTGGATGGAAGTGCAAGGGGAGCGAGCGTTTATAGACAAGAGGTTTCCCAGGTTTTTTTAATAGGACTGGAACCCCACCTACTGGCAAAGGCTGTTATAGGGATGTCAGGACAAGAACCCATACAGGGCTCATTCCCTGCCTAGATACTACAAGCTTTTAGTGGGGCTCCAAACCCTGTGGTCTGAGATCCGTGCAGGCTGAGCACCGCTGCAGCCACTGTGGGCACCTCGGTGCTTAGTGCTTGTAAAAGCAAAAATGTTAATTGCACTGAAAGGCACAAGGAAAAGCACAAAAAAATTGCTTAAGAGCTGACTTATGCTACCAACTCATATGGTACTTTAGAAAGTTTCAGCTTTAGAAAAGTAATTGTGGCCTTGATTTTGATACTTGAGGACAAATCAGCCCTACACAGCCCTTCCTTAGACAATGGTCCCACAAGTGGAAGTATCGTAGCCTAGTAATGCACAGTGAGAAAACAAAATTCCACTATGGTAGGCTGCTTGTGGAAGATGAAATATTTCCAAGTACCTACACCTGAATTAGACAACCTTAAAAGTAGTTCTTATACTTCATTTAGAATTTACTAGAAGAAATAATAATAATAATAATAATAATAATAATAATAATAAAAAATCCCATCACTTCCTGTATTTCAGCTTTCCCTTAAAAACAAAAACAAATACCATTTTAGAGATCATTCATGCCATTTTAAGTGTTGCTGAAGTAGGCCACCTAGCAATATCAGTACTTGAACTTTAACACGTTACAAAACCAGATTAATAAGTTAAAGAAGAAATTCCCAGAAAGCAGTATCAAACACTGGAAATCAATGTTTTACATCCCCAAATGAGATACCTTCCCCCTGCAGACAGAACAGAGACCATCCCGAGGACACAGAACCCACACCTCGCATCGCTCCACCACTGCCATTAGCTCAGCAGCAGCCCAGAGCATCCCGGGCTCCATTTCACTGCAGCACAAAGTGCTGATACCAAAAAAAACACAGGCAAAGGCAGAGGAGAGAGCAGGCAGAGGGTGCTACAGAAAAAGTTTCAGCCCATTTCCAAGGGGACTCCTAACTTCAGGAAACCCACACTGACTTTCCAGCAGCCGCTGTGTGTAATCAGACAGTTCCACGTGGTTCTGACTGCAGCACAGCAGAACACTTTAATATCCAGCGCATTAAGAGCTGGAGGCCTCCCTGAAGATGTGCACAGATCTGTTCAGAGACCAATGCCATTTGTGCCAATGGGGCGACAGTGCCCCAAAGGAAGATCCTGGGGGCAGAAGCAGTGGCGAGGGGGTGTCTGGCATGAGTCTGCTTAGAAATGCAAGCCAAAGGTGAGGAGCTGTGCTGGTTCAACGTGGGAATCTGCAGTTGGAGGGAAAATTCTCTTCTGCTTCTCAAAATTACCAGCTCCTCTATGGCTTAGATCCTTAGTTTGGGCTTAGGTCTTGAAATAAATTTGAGTTCCTTAATGCTAGCCCTTCAATCCCCGTTGCAAAACAAGACTGTATCCAGTTAAAAAAAAAAAAAAATGCTATGCAGTGGGACTAGCTCCCTGCCACTTCTTTCTTACCCGTTATATAGCAGAGAATCCAGGTCAACATCTACCACGGCAATGACATAGAAGGAAAAAGTCCAGATGCTGCCTGACGAAGAGGGGAGATTGGGCTATTTGTAGTATCTGGCATATGCAGCAGGCATGTCCAAATATGCAGAGAAAACAACAAAAAAATCTCTATCTTGGACCAAACTGCTAAGAAAAAAAAAATAAAAAAGGTTTCCAGGATGTGAGTCAGAAAGTCCTGGAAGGGTTTGCCTTGACAAGCTAATGATAACGGAAGGATAAGTTCAAGCGTCGAGCGAGCTGGTGAGATAAGGGTGAGGTAGACACATATGCTTCCTGTCTGCGAGAAGGGAAACAAGACGTGCAAACTGAGACCGAGCATGCTAGCATCTTCCTCTGGAGATGGAGAAAGTCGCTCCTAAAAAGCTGCATTTCCAGCACTCCTGGGCACTGGCATGGGATGGTGAACACAGCACGGGTTACACCTGGCCACAAGGAAGACTCTGTACCTGCTGCTGCAGGGACGTGGCCAGCAAGGGTTGCAAGCCCTCCCCTGCCTGCCCCCAGCACCCCTCTGAGAGTCCCAGCAGCTGCGCTGAGCTCCTACCCAGGGGTTTTCAAATAAAAAAGTTTGCATCAGCACTGGGTCTGCTCGTGCTGCTATCTTCTGTGATCAAAGAATTAAAACAGCTGCATGTCTCAGCTCGCTGGCAATGAAACCTGCAGTTGATCGGCTTTGTCCTCACGCCACAGCTACAGGGAAAGGGCAACAGCCGATGTAAAGAGGAGAGCAAACACCCAAGCTGCGTGTAGCCATGCTCTGCATCCTCCTAACATGCCCTCTCTTAAGTGCCACTTACTCAATTAATCCAAACTCTCCTACGTTAATAGCAGAGCTGTAACACATTTAAACAGCTCAGAAACTCTGCCCGACAAGCCGCGCTCCCTATCTTATTCATCAGCTGCAGGACTGACCGTGCATTAACTAAGAAAGCTCGTGGTTTGATTAACACTTCCCCTGCCATTAATTTCTGCTGAATTTCTGCTAAGGCTGAAATTTCTCAGCTTTTTTTAGTAGGGTGGATCTCATCTCAGTAGGGACTGTCTTTTGGATCCGCTCCTAGAACATCCCTGCAGCAGCTATAGTAACTATTTTTATAGGCAAGTTTTATTAGGAAAGTATTTTAAATGGCCTTTGAATGCAATTTAGCAGCTGGAAATAAGGCAGCGTGCCAGCAGCATGTGACCAGACAATCTGTGCAGCACCAACAAGTGCTACCAGAGATCACTGGTGCTCCACAGACTGTGCACGACCCCCCCCCCGACAGAACACACTGGGGACATTCAGCAGGCCAGGAGGTGCCCCGACACTGGGAACGCCTGAGAGGCCGAGCTCTGCTATTCCTGGATCACTTGCTAGAAACAAGCCTATTTTCAGAGACCTAACTGGCACATTTGGAGCTAAAGGAGGTGCGGAAATGGCAGGTTTTATTACACAGTGACTGTCAGCTCATCATAAATACACGTGAGGACATACGTAGTACAACTTGCACTTCTGTGACCATCAGTGAGTGTGTAAAAGAACCATGAAGTAAATGTTTTAGGGTCGGTTCTGAACAAATGATCTAGCATATAAAACTAGTAGCCCAAGCACACTGCGCCCAAAATATTCATCTTCTGCCTCATGCCCAAATGAGACAGGAAAAGATCCATTTCCTTCTCCGTTTTGACCAGGGCTAAGCTTGATTTCGAACAAAGGCCTTTTTATCCTCACCACCCTTTGAGCAGCCCTCTGCACAGCACTCTTTGTTGTCAGACCAAAGGAGCCCTCTCTTTCCAAATGCTTTTCATGCTTTCCGTACAGCGAACATCTCCCCCAGGAACTACGGCAGCACTCTGCAGGAACCCTTTCTGTAGGCAACAAGAGCCAGGTGGAAGGACCAGGGACCTGTTGAGGGAACCAGGCAGCTGAGATGCTCTGAGCCGCTGCAGGTGGGCTCCAGCCTTGCGACATGGGAGAAGCAACTCTGAGTAGGGAAAATGGGCTCCATCATCCGAGGACCCGAGGGAGATGTCTCCGCTGGATGCTCTGAAAACCCCCGGAAGATCAACCTGCCCATAGGCAAAGGGCTGGCACAAGCTCCTTACCCCACAGCACTTACTGTTACGGGATGCAGAGATCTCCTGCTCCCACTGAAGCACAGCACACAACATTTGGTAACACAGAGCTGGATTTTGGGAAGTGCTGAACGCACACCAGGTCCTGTTGCTGAGGCCAGACTCTTCCGAGTGGCCAAGACAAGTAACTAGATTGGCATCGCTGGGATCAATCAGATGTCTAAGCAAGTAAAAACAAAGCTTGAAATAGCTGGGGACCCAATTCTGATCTCAAGCCCCACTGGTGCAGGCACATGCGGAGTTACTGTGGCTTAAACTCATGCAGATGAGAGTGGAAACTGGCCTCCAGTACAAGTGCACGCTGAGGGAAAAGACAGCTTTCCTTTTAGACATGACTCCAATTGTACAGTCTGAGATTCAATTAAGTTTTGCTTTCCTGACATCTCCTTCCAAATACAGGCTCGGTCTTTGTGCTAGGCATTTTTAAAAATAAAATAAAACAAAATCATACGTTTGGCAGGACCTGGGCATTCCTGCTACTAAATTGTTCTGTACTTCATGCAAAATTTCAGTGTATTAAAGAGAAGGGGGGGTAGCCTCTTTGACCAGTGTCCAACTGTTTAGAACTGTTAAATATGAGTTTTTGCCCATGTTTACATGTGGAATGGAACACAGCCATTCAACCACAAAATGTTCCCAAAGCAAACATCCAAAACCTGGTTGCTGGCTAGGTACATTGACAGAATCGCCTGAAACCAGTCATTCACAGAATGCCAAAACAACAGATTACCGTTGGTAAAAAATACACAAGATTATTTTCTTACCTCCTGGGAAGAGGCCATTGCGAGTGACAGGAAACAGCGACTGGCAAAGCAGAATGTAGGCTCAGGGCTTTTTCATCTGGAGGGAGAAAAAAGATTGGTGTTAGTTCAGATCTGCAGAATCGCATGCCATTAACACAATAAAGCCAGCACATGTTGCCAATAGCATGTATGGGCAGCCTGAATTAGAGCAGATGTATTCTGCTAAGTCAAGACTTGCTACATGATGTAGAAATAAAGAAACGGAGGTAAAGAAAGAGAGACAAAGTGACTAAAGCAGGACACGGCAGCTCCATGTTACCCACAGACGGGTTGCCTTGACCCATGTTAGCCAACCACTTGGTGTTTCTGAAGGCTGGGAAGTGCCCCCTGAACTTCCCAAGGAGAAGGAGCCTGGGATTTGGGTCCTTTTGCCAACCCTTGGATTGGGTCTCACAACTGTAATGCCTTTTTTCCCCCTTTTTTCTCCCTTTTTCTCTTTTTCCTTGCCATGTTCCATCCCTTGCCCTGCTTCATTCACATCTCTGAGCAAGACTCCCCAACAAATAAAAACGTTTCACCGTCATGTTTTGTTTTCTCCTTCGTGTTAACACCTCCCCACCAGCTGAGTGATCCCCGCACGCAGCGGATTCCTGTTATTATTCTGTCTGTGCATCGACACCTTGTCGTAGGAGCCGCGTTGATCGATTGCAGGTGCCCCTCACTATGAAACTGGCCAACAACCCACTCACAAATTTGCTCCGCTTGTTAATATTAAAATCATATGGCCAATACCCTCCTAAATTGATTCAGGCTTGAGGTACTGCTGATTCACAGTAGGAACAGGGTTGCAACAGGCTTTCTGCAGGCCCCACTATTCATGGTAAACACTGCACTTCGTTGAAATAACAAAAACTTTTGAGATAAACCTATTGTAGCAAAGGAAACGTTAAAGTGCCACCACCACCTCTGCCTCGGAGCATTAAAATAAGCTGCATCACAGCTGCATGTCTGCAGCAAACTGAACTCTGATCCGCAAGCACGGGGAGCAGAAGCTTTGCAAGGCAAAGCCCAGGTGAAGTTCTCAAGATTCACTGCTTACAAATTTGGAAGGGAGCACGAGAGTAATTGCTTGTGTTCCCTCATTAACCAAGCAGAAGAGAGAGGGGAGTTCTTGAAACTCCCAGAAAACTTTGGGCTGAGTTTTTAGATGGATTGGCTGGAGCGAGAGCGAAGCTGGTTTTCACCTTCCCGCACAATTTATTTCAATCCGCAGCGTTTGTTCACAAGTCCCGGTGCGGTCTCTTGGGAGTTCAGCCACCATCAAAATAAAATCCAAGCTCCTTAAAAGCGTTCAAACATAACACATTATCCCAAATATTTATGATGTGCATGCACTACTTTCATACTTTGTTGTCTGGAAAATATTTTAACAGGTGGATTGGCAATGATGCCTAATGGTGATTGAACCCGTAACTTCACTGGTATTTCAGGAGATAAGCACCAAGCTGTGTTTCGTTTGCCGGCGGGGACACAGAGGCCCAGAGTTGTTACAGAAACTAACGCTCCTGCCAGAGAACCAGGCAGGAAACACGGACACTGCCTGGTGCCAGAGCCTTCAGCCAGACCAGAGGAATTTGCCTATTTTTTTGCCAACTCCTCTGATGGAACAGAAAAACAAAGTAGCACGAAACATGTCCCTCTGTGCCGGCACAGTCCTGGCCTCGCAAGAATCCCTTGCTAGCCAAGGCTGCTTCTTTCCTTCCAAAAGGGGACCACCTGATTTTGTAATCTCTAATACACAGCTTAATTACATAGAGATTAGCAGGTTCTCAGCTAGTCCAGTGGTGCTCAGATGATGCAGTGGCAGGGGTGTTAAAGCAACCCTACAGAATGAGAGCATTTTCCTCCCGTTTGCACTGCAGAGCCGAGCAAAGCGGCTGGGCTACCATCAACCATCCCATCTCCTTCCAAAGTTCAGCATGTGAGTTAAACTGCGCCTTGTAAGAAAGTTTGAGATTTAAATGTTAGGCTGCAAATAGAAGTGCTGGAAACCCCATTGCTCTCCGGCACTAACAATTCACCTGAGCAAAAGTCCAGGAAAATACCCTACAGAACAGCATGCAACCAGCCAGAGCACATCATTTATGATCTGTTCGGTGTCTCATTTAGGGCTCTTAAGAAAGGTCTGAATATGTCCTATTTGAACTCTAGATGCCAGGCAGAAAAGCAAAGGGAGAATTTGAGGAGGTGCGCAGATACAGAATGGTTATCAGAACAAATCAGTTGAATGCTGAGAGCCGCTAACAACATCATAAAACAAACGTATGCATCTTCCAGGGGGATTTTCCCAGAATAATTGCGTGCTCTCGCCTGGTGTTGCTTGGGAAGGCCACCCCAGAAGTTGATGGTTTAAGGTAGTTGAAGTGGGATTAGCCTTCATGAAAGACTCAGGAATACTTCTCAGTGAAAGTTTACAATAATATTTTAAAGACTCTCAACCAACACCCATGCTTAAGCTTTGAAAACAGATAATGCATTTTTAATGGGATTGCACATCTGACAAGGAATTTGACTAATTCCTCTGATAGCAGACAGCTTCCTCCCCATAATTCATCTCAAAAGGATCAAAAATCAAAACACTCCCTACCATCTTTGGAATGGCTCCCCTGCCCCCAGCCGCCTGGAAAGGATCAGATCAATTCCAGCAACTCAATGGCAAGAGAACAGAGCAGCAGATACCTGACCTCCCCGCAGCCCGCTCCACCAAACAAGGGCTCGAGTAAGGAAGAACGGGCAAAAGTCTCGAGGAGAAGGGCCAGCTGGGCTGCTGACACTGAGCCCATTGTTTCACAGATGTATCGGGCAGCCCGTGCTGGAGCTGTTTGAGTGTTAAGTGCAGCCACCAAAGTCTTCAAAGTCACCCGAGTCAGATCATTTCTTTGCTCCGGTGCACTAACAGTTGTGAAATGCTGGGAGATGATTGAATCTGAGGTGTTGTAGAAGGAGAAGCATGAGGATTTTCATTAGCTTCTTTATTATTTGCCCTAACGAGGATTTCCTGCTCATAGTCATGTGTTTGCTGGGCATTAAAGCCCTTCTCCAAAGGAGGAGCCAAGTTAGTACTCTCCAGAATCTCACGGCTGTGCCTTTAAAGCTATCCCCAGCATAATCCCTTGTAGATGATCCACAGCACAAAACCTAGCAAGGTCTGTCAAGGCATTTTTAGCATTTGTTCTGTTAAAAAAACAAGAAAAAAACCCTGAGGTATTAGGGTGCACTAATCTTTAGAAAGGTTAATTTATTCATAGAGATTTTGACAGAGATGTATGGCTGGGCTAGAGTCCCAGGCACTTCTTCCCAAGGGGAACTGCGAGTGCAGAGACGGCTTTCCTGACACGAGAAGAGAGAGGCGTCAGAAACGGGCCCGAGCAGCATTAACTTGGGGGCTCCCGTGCATTTCGAGCACTTCTCCTTCCTGCAAGCAGCCACCAAGGCAACTCTGGCTGCCTGATGATAAAACCAGGAGCCCACTTGTCCTGGTCCCAGGGGAACTGCAGACAGCGAGAGCATCATGTTCTCCTGCAAAACACTAGGTAACAAAGCTCCTTCCTCTTTTACAGCAAGTGCCTCCCCTGGAAGCAAATCGAGAGCACGCTGCAAAGCTTTCCAGTGTGCAGGCTGATGCTACATGGGATGGACACGCGATGCTGCCTGGATGACAGGCAGTGTCTTCCGAGTCTGGCTGTTCAGGCAGACCATGCTTCTGCTGGATTTTGTGGACTGGTGTTTTGGATTTCTAGACAACGTCTTGGATACTCGTTCTCAGCCAAAAGTTGAGCAAGACTAAATGTATTTCTGTGGATATTCTGGGATATCTGTTTCAAAATGCCAGAAGATAAATCCATGGATGCTTCAACAAGAGATATCCTGTGAAATAAATTGCATCCTTGAAATAAAACATGTTAGAAAAAGTGGAGGGTAATTTTATGATATCTGATCATGCCCTACTTTTTTTCCACTGGGAACAGAGTTTGATCCATAACTGCACAAAGATCACTTCCAGATTAAAATTGTTTTTATTTCTTTTCTACTTAAGCAGGGAGGATGTAGCAGAAGCCAGCAAAACCTCTAGTCTCTGCAGAGGCCTCTGGGACCTTGAACTGTCAGGACACTGCAGGAAGCCAGCCTGATAACTGATTTGGTTGCTTCTTTTTTAATTTGCTTGGAGTCTGTGCAATTAAAACTAAAGTTTCCACCGGCTGTAGAAGGATAGAGCTAATTTGTGACTGCCTTCTAGTTTCAGCAGCAATTTCTCAATGTCAGGAATACCTGCACTGTTTCTTGCAAGCTCTTGACCAAGAAAGAAACTTAATCCTGCCGATAGCTGGATGAACCAGGCCAGCAGGTCCAGGCAAGCGATCCTTGCCCTCTTCTGCTTCTGCACCTGGGGCATCGTGTCCACTCTGGGGCCACCTGGTAGAAGAAAGCCATCAGCAGGGAGCAGTGAGTCCAGCCACGGGTCACCAAGCTGCTCAGGAGTACATCTTACAAGACCTTCAAAGGGTGACTGTTCAGCCCAGAGAAGAGAAAGAAAAGGGAGAACCTCGCTGCCATCTACTGCTACCTGATAAACACAGAGAAGATGGGGCTGGGTTCTTGGAGGTGCGTGGCAGTAGGGTGGGGGCAGCCCCGTGTTCACCCGCACCTCGGCACCGCAGCGGACAGGGGACCCGCTCAGCGAGCCGAGCCAAAAGCAATAATGCTCTGCTGACCAGAGCTAGTTAACTGCTAGTTTAGATTATTAACCTCTTGTCCTTAATGAGAGTCCTGAGGCCGCTTAAGCCACAAGACCAAATTTCTCCTAACCGCAAACATGGAATCCTCATTAATATGAATCCGAGACACTTTCCCAGGAAGAAATAATTTGCAGAGTGTAGGATCTACCCAGAAGCAAACGATGCTGGATTTAGGAGCATGTTTGAAACTCCTGCAGTTCAGTTTAATTTATCCCCAAGGAGAGGGAGGAAGGTCTGGATTGAAAAATGGATTTTTACTTTTAATTGCCAGGTGTCACCAGGCCTTAAAAACAAAGCTTTC